GTCACTGTAGTCAAAGGAGGGGAGGCATGTAGCAGTTACAAGTTGTTAGCATTCAGTGTTAAGACAAGATCTATTTCTAAAAAAGAAACCCAGTTTTACGTTGAATTTCTTTACCAAGTTTTTGACATGAGGCTTAAAAGAGATGTGAACCGACCAAAATACCCAAGTATTTATAAGAATTGACAAACTCAGCAGGGACGCCATTCAAAGATAAAATAGAAAGGACTGCTGGCACTGACTTCCTGTCAGCATCCCTTGGTTTTATCAGCATTTAGCACCTGTTTGAGATTAAACTAATCTGACTGGATGATGTCGAATGCAAACTGTATAAGCTGGAAAACCTTAGCAACTGTTCTAGGTCAACAATAAACTACGGTGTCGCCGGCATAGAAAGGTCAAGGTTTTTTATTGTCATTCGCATCACATGTGGTACGTGAGGTGGAACGAAATTGTGTACACGGGGTCCCAGTTACATCCAACAATAGTAAAAGTATAAATTGTAAAATAAAACGGTAATAAAGATTTAAGATATGAACTAAGAAATATGCTAAACTAAGAATATGCTAAACACTTAACAGTGCAAAAACAATATGCTGAATAACAGCAGCACGAACATGAGTCTGTGTGAATAGAGGAGTATGAATGCACGAAATGTAAGGATGCATCAGGAATTATCTGACTTACATTACTTATGTAGATTGTGAAGAGGGTGAGTCCTAAGACTGAGCCTTGTGGTACACCATTGTTGACTGTTAAATAACTGGAGGAAATACCATTATGTTGAACACATTGCCTCTGGTCTGAGAGATAATTAGAAAACTAAAGCATATAGTGTGATCGGAGAAACCAATTTCTGAGAGCTTATGACATAAGATGTCATGATCCACAGTGTCGAAAGCTTTAGACAGGTCTAAAAATGTGCAGCACAATAATCCTTAGCATCCAATGCTTCAATAACATCATTAAAAACCTCAGCGAAGCAGTCATTAGTTATTAGTCATTAGTTAGTCACTCTCATCATCCCACGGTGACTCCCATCACCCACTGGAGCAATCATCAGGACTTTGTACCACAGAGCAGACAGCATTCCCACTAGCTCGAGAGTCAGGCAGAAGGAGAAATCCACACAAGACAGGCTCTAGAGAAATGTGGATATCCAAACTGGGCCTTCCTGAAAGCAGAGAAGAAATGCAAATAGGACGCTAGCCAGCCATCAGATGAAAAGGAGCAACCCAGACCCAGACCAGTTGTCATTCACTTTAATTCAGTTCAATTCAAACTTCAATTCATTTCAGAAATACTTTATTAATTCCAAAGCTAAATTAAACAAGCAACTTAAACTAGCAACATTCCATATGTTGTGAGAGTTTCAGAGAAACTGAGATGTTTTTTTTTTTTTCTAAACATGATGTCCCAGTGGTTTTCAAACCCCAAAATACATTACCGCAAAGACGGGTCCGTCACAAAGATCCTGTCCCCCACAACAAACAGGATAATACTGTGCATGATGTTCAGTGTCAGGAGGGTGATCAGTCATGCATTGGAGAAACTAAACAGCCACTGGCAAAAATATGCCCCAGCACAGAAGATAAACACCAGGCTAGGATTCTGTGGTTTATACTCATCTGCAGGCCAGAGGTCACTCTTTCAGGGATGAAGATGGTCACATCCTTGATAGAGAGGAACATTGGTTTGAAAGAGGAGTAAAGGAGGCCATCTTTGTGAAGAGAATTAGTCTAACATTAAACAGGGACAGAGGCCTCCGTGTCCAACTATCCCCCTCTTATAATGCTCTTATTGCTAGTATCACTCACCCTTTTGTGAATAGCAAACGACCATCAGGGCATTGATGATTGAATATCATGTGAACTAATTTTGGCTGACTCCAGCAAACTGTTGATCCATTATGAGAAGGTGCTATTTATAAGACTTCATCAGCCGCCTGAGGAAGTAGAACCGCTGATGTGCTTTCTTCATCAGGTTGTTGGTGTTGTTGCCCCAGGTGAGGTTTTCAGGTGCACACCCAAGAACCTGTAGCTGGATACCACTTCCACCACAGATCCTCCTATGTTCGGGGATGGGGGTTGGAGTAGGTGTGTTTGCTCCTTCTGAAATCCACAATCATCTCCTTCATCTTCTTCACATTGATGTGGAGGTTGTACTTCCTCCACCAGCTCTCCACGTGTTCCACCTCCTGCCTGTAGCTGGACTCATCATTGTTTGTGATGCATCCCACCACCACTGTATCATCTGCAAACTTTACAATATGACAGCCTGAATGGGTAGGTGTGCAGTCATATGTGAGCAGAGTGAACAGGAGGGGGCTCAACACTCAGCCCTGAGGGGAGCCAGTGCTGAGAGTTATGGTGGTGGAGGAGACGTTGTGGATCCTCGCAGACTGTGGCCTGCTGGTCAGGAAATCTAGGACCCAGTTGCATATGGAGGGACTTAGTCCTAGTGTGAGGAGTTTATCAATTAGTCATTCAGTTACCTGTGACCAACTGCTATGAAAAGTGTAAGCGTCTTTAAAATATTTATTCACAGATGAAGTTAGAATTTGACAATATCTGATGTTCAAAACATGACTTTTTTTAAATTTTTTTAAAATACAAATAAAGTGTACAAAGTTGATGAGTATTAAAATGTTACATTACATATGTTTGAACAAATAAAGTCAAACTCTTTTAACGCAGCCATAATTTAGTTTTCCTAAATGAAAGGTTACCTTTTATTCTAGTCCAGATTTATTTACATTCAAATACTAATTTGGTCCTGCGTTGTTGTATTTATTGGACGATACTCATTTTATTAGTATTAAATAAAATTCAAAACTGTTTAAAGTCATAGATTTGTATGCAATTATCACTTATACAATACACATATGCAGTAAAAGACAAATAATAGATTAAGAGTCATGTAAATTAAATAAGTTTTTCAGGTTAAGCCTCATCTTTGTTCAGATGCAGTTTTTCTGCTGAAACTTTTCATAATTAGATATTGTTGGTGTGAAGCCCGGCCTAAAGCATGTGCATAACATGACCACATATGGCTGACTGGGTTTTCTCAGTGTCACAGCCCTCATGTACGTCACAAAGAGGCAAAACAGCTTCTTATTTTTCATTCTTGCTGTCCTACGTGTTCAGTTCATCTGTGTCACCGCTGTTTTTCTTCCACTGCTTGAGTCAGAGCAGAATTAGACGAATTAAAACAAAAGCGCTAGTTGCTGTTTGAAGTTTGAGCAGAGTCGTTATTATGACTTCTCCCTTAAAGGTCAAGTTGAGCCACTGGCACGATAAAATATGTGGAGAGAAAGAGGGGAGTCAAACGAGAGAGAAGTGTTGAAATAACAAATCCTTCCTCACAGATGGTGCTTAGGAAAAACATGGATCTGATTTGGGGTTGCCACCTCAACATTTTCAACAAAATGATCAGTTTGGTTCCACTGAGCGTCTCGGAGTGACATTAATACACTTCAAGGCGGTTTCAAGTCACATGCAAATGAGGTTTTCATCTCATCAGTATCGAGTCACTGAAAAAAGAAACGGGGAACAAAAAAGCAGAAAATCCCATATTATAGTTGTTTTGAAAATTTCTTTCTAACCATTATAATCTTAACTGGTCTTGATTACATCGCTGGTGCTGGCTTAGGGATTCTAGTGGTCCCCCACCCTCAGGCTTAACCCTAACCTCCACCAGCTGGATGTTTACACCACTCTGCCACTTTTCCTGTGAGTAAGTCCACTGAGCTAAAGGTCTGAGAAACTGAAGTCATTTCCATGCAGCCGACAAGGAGGAGCAGCAGCATGAAGACGTGAATACAGGCTTTGATTAAGAATGTTATTGTAAAGAAATCTGTCTTCAAACAGAAAGGGAAGACTGCAGCGGAGAGAAACATAGAAGGTCCTGACCAAGGTCCCCACATGCTCTTTGACCTCGGGGGGTAATTTGTTTTTCTTAAAACAGATTGGCTAAATGTTCTGCGCATTGAAGCAACAACCCAAAGTGTAAATGTTCAAACTGTTTTTGGGCTTCAGCCTGCTCGCTAACCCTCTGGGAGATCAGCAGATCAGTGACTCCCCCCATGTCCTTTCTCCTCTTGTCGTAGTCGACTCGTTCTTGATATTCTTTATCCTCCTCGTGGTCTCTCTCTTCCCTTTTTCAAGTTTGACATTGTCTTGGCAGCAGAGCTGACATGAAGAGTTCAGTGGGGTGAAAGGTCAACCACAGGGCCTCAGGAGGGAACAAAACCCAAGATCTCCCTCCATATTTATGATTCTGCTCCCATATCCTTACCATAAACTCCTGAAAATACACACGTTGTTTGACAAATGAGGTTCTTTGTCAGGTAGTGTTAAGCGATCTGCGTTGAAAAGTGGACAGATGCTCTGTAAACGACCTCAGCATCGACTGAGGTGTGATGGACATTTGACCAGCCCGTTCACCTTTTGCCCTGCATGTTTGTAGATTTAGGTGGAGAGGTCGTGCAGAAGAAGCTGCGGCAGTTTGCAGCTCATGCTTTAGTTGTAGCTTAATGTGTTGCAATGTGAATATTGTGTAATGGAGAAAGCAATTAAAGCAGTGGTTCTAAATCAATGCAGATGTCATGCCACTTCACATAGTTTGAACCCTTTTGTCATTTAAAGCCCACAATACAAGATTTTTTAAAGGGAAAATGGTTGGAAAATTGTCACCACTCGAGCTGTTTAGATGTCATAAAGCAGGACAGAATCTGTTTATTGCTGTCATCCCAAGGCAGCGTGTTTACACCCAGCCACACACATCGATGTACTCCAGAGGGAAGTGATGGATATGTAGCTGAAAACAAAAAGAACTGAGTTAAGTGCTTCTTATTTAGATGTGTGGAGAAAAGAGCCCACTGTGTTCAACCACAAACTTACGGTCTCAGAACAGACACTTGTCATTCCTGTTCATTTTTCCAATAAGACTAACCTATGTTGCTTTTTGTGTGTGTGTGTGTTCTGCTCTGGTCTCTCTTGTAGCTGCTGCACATCTGCATCGAGGGATGGGGGAACTGGCGCTGGTCGGAGCCGTTCAGCGTGGACAACATAGGGACACTGCTGAGGACCATTCAGTACAAAGGACGCACTGCCTCGCTCATCATCAAGGTGCTTCAACTTAACGGTGTCCAGAAACAGGTACTGGAGGTTCTTCTTTACACGCCGTTTTCCTACATTTTTGCCCAAATATTTAACTTTGAATAAACGTGTACCACCTGCTAACTTTCTTGATGTAGTTTTAGGCCAAGACCATCTTTTGGCTGTACGACGGCTCAGTGGTTAGCACTGTTGCCTCACAGCACGAAGGTCCAGGGTTCAATACCCGGTTGGCCCTGGGGTCTTTCTGTGTGGAGTTTGCATGTTCTTCTCGTGCTTGCATGTGTTTTCTCTGGGTACTCCGGTTTCCTCCCACAGACCAAAAACATACATGTTAGTCTGCCTTCAGGTCCAGGCCTCCCTTGCAAAAGAGATCTGTGATCTCAGTGGGATTTGCCTGGTTAAATAAAAGTTAATGTGTTAAGAAAAATGGAGTTAAAACAGATATAGTCAAACCTTAAAAATATCATTGTGTGATCTCATGCAAACACACTGTCTCAGCACTATGAGTATATGCAGTGAATGACTCTCAGCTACTTCCACATCAAACTTCAGCTCAGTGTCTATAAGTTGAAATTAGACATTTTGTGGTTTTGCCATCTATAACAGAATTGACTCCCAAGAGTTGATCAATTGTAGAGGAACATCCAATGATAACTTTGAGTGTTTAATTAAAACCCATCCAGCTGTTCATGAGATATTTTGCTCACACGCCTGATGAACACAAACACACACCAGGACAAAAACATAATCCATCTTATGCCATCAATGACGGGCTAAAGTTAAAAAATCTGGAATTTAGACGTTCTGCAGATCTTGAAGCTGCACTGTGGAAAAAAGCTCCAGTAAAAATTAAAACCATGTTTACAGCATTATGCACAGATCCTGCTCTCGTCAGAATTAGCAGTTCTTAAACTCCCCCTCCTTGTTTGTGTCTTGTGATTTAGTAGTTACTTGGCTAACAACGGGCTGTTTTCTGTTTTTGTCACAATTTTTGTCATCTGTTTTGTAGTAGTAAAATGTGTCCCTTCAGTCCACAAAGAAGATCACAGGAAATCATAAAACAGATCATAAACCATATGCCTATCTGTTGCAAGGACAGCAATGAATCAAGTTTTTCCACAAGAGCAAGAAGTCGGTGTATTCCTGCAAACATGAAGATGCCATCAGTTGATAGCAGTGACCGTTTGTTATATAAACAGTGTCAAGTGTCACACACGTCTCCCTCTCATCCTCCAGACAAAACACACACTGCCTCTTGGATTCCTTTTTCCATCTGTCCCAAACTTTGATGAAATCTTGTTTCCATTGGTCTGCACTGGTTACACCCAGCTCACAACATGAAGTCGTAGCGCTGCAGCAGTTGCTATGACAGAAGAGTTCAACACCCGCCTCAATGACTTTACCTCAGTCTGTGTTTCCTTTTGATGGAGTCGCATTCCTATAACACACTGCTGTCTGTTTTCATGACTTGGTATTCTATGATAAAACTTTCATTTTTGAATCGTATATGCTGTTGAGTACTGCTTATATAAATGTTCTGGTGTATGTGCAAGTTTCAGCAAACTTTCGAGGTAAATATTTAAATTACTGTCCATAAATAGGTTTAAAGAAAGGATTGATCGCAGCATTTCCTTCTTTGGAAACAAGATCTTGTCTTTCCAAGTCTACAAACATGCACCCACACATGCGTGACATAAACACACACAGATGGTAATTGAAACAATGACTTCTTAGCACAGTTCCATGTCAGTCCCATTTAAAAGCTTCCTGCTGACTCAGGTTTGACTGGCTCAGGATCACATTTGTGTTTGTTAACGTGCTGATTGTAAGGATTGTAACAATATTGTGTACACGCTGGTTTTTCTCATGCATTTAATGTCAACAACTTTCCGATGTTCCAGATAATAATCTGTGGCCGACAGGTGATGTGCAGCTACCTGACTCAAGATATTGAGTTGCGGGTTGTACAGCACTACGTCGGGCCCGACGGTCAGACTGTGGTCAGAGAGCACTGTGACTGCCTGGAGGCAGGAGCCAAACTGCCTTCCTATGTCCTGGAGGATGCAGAAATGACCGAGCTGTGTGTGAGGGCACAGGGAGATGAAGACTGGTCCCAGGACGTTCAGCTGGAGAGGAGGAACAAGGGCAGCAGCAGCTCTGTCGTACAGGTAGAACATCACAACGTGATTTGATTGTGAGCATTTCATTATGTTTTATATATCTTGTTGGCAGCTCGGCGGCTCAGTGGTTAGCATTGTTGCCTCACAGCAAGAAGGTTTTGGGTTCAATCCCCGGTTGGACCTGCGGTCTTTCTGTGTGGAGTTTGCATGTTCTGCTCATGCTTGCGTGGGTTTTCTCCAGGTACTCCGGTTTCCTCCCACAAACCAAAAAATACACGTTAGGCTGCCTTCAGGCCTCCCTTGCAAGAGATCTGTGATCTCAATGGGATTTGCTTGGTTAAATAAAGGTTTATAATAATAAAAAAATATAAAATGTTCTAAAAAGCATTCAAAATCTGTAGAGACCAATTTGGACATTTTGCATTGTTAAGCCGGTATCTCTCCAGGCTTCAGCTGCTGGTGACGCAAAATAGCAAAACAGGCTAATTTTCTGAGTCTCGTTGAGTTCCAAGTGTTTTCCTCTGAGCCATATAACTGTTTATTTATTTTTCAGTCAGTTTTTGAAAATTATGACTTACTTTTGTGCGCACAGCTTGCACAACTCCACATCCTCCCACATCACACCCACCTTGGCAGCCACCTTCATTTTATAACTGAATCTGCAGAATTACACTTCTGTAATGAAGATGAGCAATTTTTTTTTTTTTTTACCAGTTTTTCAAGAAGAATTATTTATTATTGGCTTGTTTTTTTTTATATATATGAACGTTTTTTCTTTTCAGAGGAGCACACCTGTGCAGGTGCGCAAATACATCTCTTGCACATTTGACATGGATAGATGTCCATTACATCTGTGAGAGCTAATGCATGGCACAATTTTGTGATCATATTTAAAACTCAAGCGACAGCTCTGCTCACACCTGCTTAGTACCACGAGGAACTTTGAGAACCACGGTGAACGTTTCAAGACGTCCTAGAGACTCCCTCTCGAATGCTGTTCACCAGTTAGCCACAGTCCAGTGAGATACTCTTATTAAATTGTATTTTTGATGAGATGTGAGATATCAAACAAAAAGTATATACTGAAGGATGACGAGTGCATGCGTGTGGACTGTAGCAGATCCATTGTACACGGAAGTGTCCACCTCCAAGCTGATAAATGGGGCAGCCAGGCAGGAAAAGATGCAAACATAGCTCACACCAGCTCTAGCTTTCTATTACTACACATGTTTGGAGCTGGTGACTGGACCACCAACCGTGACCGGATCCTCTTCTTCTGGGTGGCCAAAGTTGCTGAGCTTCCATACTGCTGCTCACTTTTAGAAAACAGATTGAGATCTTCCCCTCAGATAGGCTTACAAAAGGCCCTCCAACCCATAACCTGACCACGTTGAGAGGTAGAAAATACAGTTTATGCTTTCTCATAACAACACTAAACACAGACAGGAAACACTGGCTGATATGTGGGCACAGGGAAAGGCTTTGAAGGCACTTTCACACCGCTGGATTAGTGCCACCTCTACCTCAGCTCTTCCTGTTCTTTACTTTTTCTCGTTTGGTTTTTCTTTGTACTCTCATTTCTTTATTAATCTTATATTTAAAGCCAGTCCTCCTTCTATTCCAGCTTACAAATGTGGGTTTGATCATGTCTGACTCCACTCCGGTGTCTGCTGTTATCTCTTGTTAAGATTAGCTTCTCATTGCACATGTGGAGGGTTGGCTCTCTCAGAGAAAGAGGCCTGGACTAGTAGCTGCTTCCTTAGATCTCTCTGTCTCTGTCTTGTTTCCTGTCGTTTCACTTTCTTCTTTCCTCCCTTTCTTTTACTCTCTCGCCCACGCTCTGATCTGCTCATCTATCTTTTTATTGTCCACTCCTGTTGCTTTTTGACTTCATCCTGCCGCATCGAGCTCCTCCACCTGTCCTTCCTTCTCACTCCCTCCTTGTTAATCACTGTCATTTTTTATCTGTCTGCTGCTTTTCTGTATCGGTAATCCATCTGAAGAAACCCCTCTTTCTTATCTCACCTTCCCTCCCATAAACTCCTGATTCAAATAGCGTCTTTCCTTCCGACAAAACACAGGAGGTTACCGTGACCTTTTTTTGAAAGGGTTTTTACTAGTTCAGGCCTATACAGTGAATATTTGCCAGTGTTACTTCCCTTCATCCCAGGCTGTTTTGCAAGGGCCTGTATATTAGGTCTGAATGCCAACTCTCCCCGCTCCATTCTGCTGTCCCTCGCAGTAAATGAAGTCCCTTGTCTGTCATAAACTGCACTACTTGTTATGTGTTTTGGCATGCCAGGCCTTTAATGAGGAGTGAGGGCTAAATGGGACAAACAGCAGTGACATATTAACAGTGCTCAGCCTTCGGTGGGCATATTTCTCAGCTTTTAAATCTTGCTATGATTTTACTGCCTGTAATGCCCCATTATCTTGGCACCAATAGTTCTCAGTTGCCCCGACCATAATGTTGCATTAGGGAGGCTCAAAGTTTTACTGCTGAAAGAATCCAAGAAACAATGATTTTTCAGGACAAAATATTGTTATACAGATGAAGACTAAAAGCATTCAGACAGCTGCGGCATCAAATCCTTCAAATGTCCAAATGCATCATAGTTGCCAAAACACATATTAGAGGAATTTGTACTTCAGTGTTTGTAATGGTTTTAATTTGTCGCTGGAACGGTAGTTCTGTTGTAGTTTGGATAAGGACTGATTGAGAACAACATGTTTCTTCTGTTTCAGGTGGCCTGTTCCAGCGGCTCTTTGCTTTATGTGTGGTGTTCTCTCATCACTATCGAACCCGAGTCTCACATGCAGCAACGAGTGGTGGGTACCGCTCAGCAGCACACACACTGGACGAACAATGACCGTCGAACTAACATCTGAAATATTTATCATCACAATTAATATTTGTTCTTTTTGGTTTGTATTTACAAAGTGAGTGTTTGTCGCTCTGCATTAAACTGTTTCTGTTTCAGGTGGTGTTCAGTCCACTGTTCGTCATGCGGAGCCACTTGCCAGACTCACTAATCGTCAATATAGAAAAAAGGAGTCTAGGACTGAGGGAAAGCCAGCTCATACAGGGACAGGGCCACCAGGAGCCCCTTTTAAATACCGAGGCTGACCTCACACATCACCTCACTTTTCAGGCCAGGTAACTAAAAACAGTTTTCACTTCAAAAATACTTTATTAATCCCAGAGGGAAATTAAATGATGTAGCTCATCATCCTGGTGTCATTAAAGAGTTGTTCTAGATGCTGATGGCTGTGGGCAGGAAGGATCTCTTGAATTCAAAGCACAAAACTCACGGAGCAAATCTCTTTTGCTGTCATGAAATGGGCTGTCTACTTATACCAGTAATCCTCACAATATATAAAATATTCAAATCTTAAAGTATGAAACATGTTTACATCCACGAAGCTACATGTCAGATGATACAGTTCTTGTAAATTGGCAGCTTCCTCTCTTCTTTCCGTCCTCGGTACCTTGTTCCTGACGAGCAGATTTAATCTTTTTCTTCTGTTCAGTTTTGTATTGAATCATCAGCAACTAGCTCATACATCTGCAGGAGAACAGCTGCTCCGGTCTTTCTGTTGGGTTCGTTGTGGGCTTATGTTCAGCAAAAAGAGACACTTTCTAAGATCCCCCTCGCTGCACGTTTTGGTTTCTGTGAGCCATTAATGAAGACGTGATCCAGGGGAATCGTGCACATTTCAGGGGAGCAGTAAGCTATGCTGCAGCTGGGACACCGCTCTAACTCCAGCATGTCAGCTTGGACCATAATTACACCTCATTTAGATACAGGCCATAACAGAGAGCAGCTGTGGATGTGTGTCAGTGTGTGTGTGGATGAGCATAAGTCCTGTATCTGTGTGGTCGTTGTCTGTCATTGTGCTGGTTAGCTAAGTGATAGTATAAGTGTGACATTGACAGCCGCAGTCTGTCACATACATCACTGCTGTGCTCCGGTCTCATTTGTCAGCTTCTTATGTTTTTCACTTTGGAGGCCACTGGTGATCACATTGAAGAGCAGCTGTCATATATTGGAATTGCCAAATTTACATTATATTATACCATATTGCATTTTCTCATGAAAGCAATGTGTGCAGCTTTCATCTTTAATGCCTTTTTAACAACGTAAAAGGGAAACCCTTTGTGCAAAATGTCTTGTCAGTTATATGATTGTTTGCATATGAGACTCCTCAGTGGTTACACTGGATAGATTGTGGTGCTTGAACTTCATTTATTTGTTCATCAGTATGCTTATTATTTTATGCAGATGCTTTAAAAGGATCACTCCTTCAGGACAAACTAGTGATGACACGATAAGCAGAACAGAGTCTGCTTGTTACTATTTTGGTGGGACTTCTTTTTGTAACTGCTGTATTTAGATATCTGGTGACAAAGTTTGTTTTGATTCCAGCAACAAGAAAGGAACCACAGTGACCATTCAGTGACTGGGAATGTATTTGGCCACTGTTGTTTTAGAGAAATCCTTCTCATGCATGCAGAAAAACAAGCTCCGAAACAACTAAGGGTCTTGTCTTTCTAGACTTCAACCACACTGCTCCTTGTATTTACACTCTGTCCCCCCGTCTACACCGCTTCAAACCGCGTAGACTTAGATTTTAGGCTTTGTTGTCGCGCACACACACACACACACACCCCATTGCTCATTCTTCTCCATCCTCACACACATGCACACACTACAAGCCACAACTGTAAGCATACACAAATGCACAGAGAGCCCCTGCAGACAACCACAGACCTCTGGGATAGAGTCTGTCTTGGATGTTCGTTGGTCAACAGCTCATCTTTCCTTCCTGTAATTACGCAACGTTTTTAACTTTAATAAACGAGGTAGAGAGAAGAGCTGCGGTTTGCGATCCAACAGACACCGACAGGTCTTAACCAGATCTGTTGTGTTCTCCTGGCCACCACGTTAGGAAGCAGAGGGTTATAATCAGAAGCCCTTCCAGTTCCCCCCTCAGGGACTGCTGTGGATGAAAAGCTTCCTGTCAACACCTTGTCCCTCTCCTCTGTCTTGCCCCACATCTATACACTACATCCCCCGTGTTCCCTTTATAGCACAATGGGCTCTATTAACAAACTGCTGCTCCAGGTTATGGGGGTGTGCTGCTTTAGCCAAGTAGAACTGGATGGTGCCCAGAGAAATACTAGATGCTTTTACACTGTTTGGATTTAGTTCTTTTTTTTTTTTTTAAGTCTTGTTGCAAAGCTGTAATTGACCAACGACTGGAGCTGAGGTTATCCAATAGGATTATTTACTCCCATTTAGCTCTTTCTGTGATCTTTTTGAATTAGTGTGTGCAAGGCAAGACTGCATGTCACAAATAAAGATTGCTAACAAAAGACAGATTCAACCCGCTCCGTGGTTTCAGGGTAGAAGTAGAGTTTAGCAGGGGTCACTTTATTTTACTGAAAAGAGAACAATGGAAACTGTTAGCTGCTGTCAATGGATGTCTTGTTATTTTTTTTAGTGAAATAAAAGCACATATAGTTGAATTGTTCCTGGCATGATGCAAGTAAACATGCCAGACTTGTACAATTTAAAAAACGAATGCAACAGTAATTGACTACGAGTGGCTCCATGGTTTTCATTATGAACGGTGACTTATCACAGCTTTTACCAGAGAGAAGAAGATCAAGTGAAATCACCAGATCCAAGTGCCTTCTTGATTGGGAAACAGAGATGGCACATGTTTAGACAAACAAATCCACTGTTCCACTCAGACTGTGTTTCAAGGATCTGTAATGATTCTGAGCCTTTGCCGTTTCCCCTCAGGGAGGATGAAGATGCATCGCACTGTGCTGTTCCCATCTCCACCAGTCTAATCAAGCAAATCATGAATAAGACGGGTAATGAGGACAACCCAGAGCAGATCCTGGCTGATTTCTACAGTCCAAAGACCACCGCTGAGCCACCATGGCCTTATATCACCAGAGATGCTGACAGGTAATTTAAGCACCACTTTTTAGACTTGGCAGATTCATTTTCAGAAGAAAACAACTTTGTAGCAATACTGGAAATACAATGTATATCCAAGTATGATAAAATAGACAGTTTGGCTTTTTTTTGAAGTGGGATTCTGTGTAAAAGTAATGAAAAGTTAATATATTACCATGTAATGGAAAATTGAGTGACACAAAGAATAATTTGCATGAACTTTTAGCAAAGTTTGAACACTGAGGTTGTTTTAAGATTACAGCTGTCCACTTTGGAAGTGGGTCCTTTTGCTCAAGCCATTATTAACATATCAATATGTTTTGAGCAGACACATTTCCAAAGCACATCATCTTCAAACAATTATAACCTTCCAAACTTTTCCATCTGCTTATGTTTGAACAAAAATATTGTGAAATCCCTGCCAGAAGTGTAAGTCTTTCTGCCGTGTTTTGTGTTTGTAAGTACCCACAGTATTTCCTATAAATGACCATAAAACTGACTGTGGCGTGTTCATAACAGTTCATGAAGGTAAACTCTTTCTCCAGACTAAAAACGTTCAAAGAACTATTTACATCCATCCATTATCTTTACCCGCTTCGTCCTTTTCGGATTGCAGCTGTTACTGGTACCCATGTCCAACTATCACTGCAAGAGGCGGGGGACACCCTGGACAGGTCTCCAGTCCATCACAGGGACACATAGAGACAAACGAGACAAACAAACATTCACTCTCTCACTCACACCTAGAGACAATTTAGAGTTACCAATCAGTCTAACATGCATGTTTTTGGTCTGTGGGAGGAAACCGGAGTACCCGGAGAAAACCCACGCATGCACGGAGAGAACATGCAAACTCCACCCAGAAAGATCCCGTGCCGGGATTTGAACTGGAGACCTTCTCGCTGAGAGGCAACGGCTCTACCAACTGCGCCACCGTACCATCCTATTTACAACCAGTAAACTGGAAGTTGTTTATTGTTTGGCCACATAATAAAAGAGTTAACTTGTAACCCAATGCAGAGCCATGCATCAGACATTTGCACCAATCTCACCTGCAGACAAAACTCTCATTCTGTTGCAGTCTTTTTACACACAACACACAGTTCAGCTGAGTTCTACAGATTCAGCTGTGTGTGTGTTCTGCTCGCATGTGTCTATAGCTGTGTTTCCATGGACATAAGTAATCGGATTAGACGGCCATTCGGAATAAAAATGCGTCAAGTAAACACCCCATTCGGATTTTCTTTTGTTTATTCAGCGCGATCCGAAAGAATTTGTAATCGGAATGAAACATTTGGTTTACTTTGATTCATAACCCAAACGGTGCACATGTAAACACTTAATGTGATCATTTTTTTCTGATCGTGAACAACTGACCTGACTGCATATGTGCAACCTATGTCATCTCCTCCTGGGTAATGCTAATAATATCAGCATGTCGGGGAAGCAACACTGGTCAATGAGCGACACAACATTTCCACTAGAAACTTTGATAGAGCTCAAAATGATCTGTATCACCTGTAGCTCAGACAGGGAGCGCAGTAACGTCTCCACCGTCATTAAAACCTGTCGCGGGTCCATTTTGGGTGCTCCAGTTTGTTTACGTTCATCCAGGAAGTAAACCGGAAGTAGAACTACTTCTTCTGTGGGTTTTTTAGGAGAGTTTACCACTCTGCGCATTGTCAGTACTTCCGCTGCGTGTAAACGCTCGTCATGAACAGATTGTGCCCATGTAAACAATACATTTGAATTATTTAATCTGAAAACATTTCAGTCCGGTCAAAGAATTTTGTGCATGTAAACATAGCTTTTGTGGTGTAAGGGTGAGTATGCATGTACAACTTCATAGACCTTTGATGCAAAACTGTCTTCAAATGTCACTCTGGGAATCATCTTTTGATACATTCAAAAAGCGTTCAATACAAAAACAACTGGACTTTATTTGTAACAGAAGACGTTTCGCTCCTCATCCAAGGAGCTTTCTCAATTCCTTTCCTCAATTCAAAGAATTCAACTCCTTGAATGAGGAGCGAAACATCTTCTGTTACAAATAAAGTCCAGTTGTTTTTGTATTGAACGCTTTTTGAATTCATCATGGCCTGGATGACTGAGAATCTTTACCAGCAGATCTTTTGATACAAACCGATCACATCTTGATGGAAGCAGAAGAGCCAACCACACGTTTCTCTTCAGGCGCCGAGCAGCAGAGTCCCTGTGGGTCTACTGGACATGTGAGCCACATGTCGGCCTGTGGTCGCCTGAAATCCTGCACTCTTTTTACACACTGTTCCCCCAACATATTTGCAACATAGTTGCATACACATAACATTGTGTTTCATACAAATGCTTGATGTACATTGCTCACCTTTTAATATCATACACTGTCTGACTTTTCCTGTCTTCAGGAGGTTTTCTGATTTCATGGTTTGGGGTTCTCTTGTCAGGTTAAAGTTAAAGTGCATTCTACATCTCAGAAAGTAGTGGTTTGTTTCAATGCAAGGATTCTGTACCTCTCGAGGTCCTTCTGGAAAATTATTAAAACTATATATACACGTAGAAGTGAGTTGTGTGAGCCATCTCTAAACACACTTGGAAAACTTGGAAAAAAAAGCCACAGATCAATTTGTACATCCTGATTCATGCTCAATAATCCAGGTAGAACAATCCAACAAAGTTTAGTCGGTTCCTCTGGACGGTTTCTTTTTGTTGAAATGTCAGCCCCTTTGCCTCAGTCTTATTTATAAGACTGAGTTTGTTGTGGCTCCTCAGACTGATGAACTTTGGGATGAAAGGCGAAACGTTTCAACAAAAAGAAACCGTCCAGAGGACCTGACTTAACTTTGTTGGATCAATATGTGTCTTTCATGGTGGTAACACTGATCGTGTTTGTTGTTTGGACTCCTTGTTGTCTGCAATGAAACCAACGCAGAGTTTGCTTCAGTGAGTGTGTGACAGTCGTCTCTTAAAGGGGAAAGGGAAGTTGAAAGTGCTAAATGTTATTTTCTCTATTGATTGGATTTCTAATGGCAGCAAGACACCTCCACAATCTTTAAACAAACATCTTGTAGCGGTTGGAGTCGGGGAACAGTGAGCAACCAGCTGCTCAACACGTTCAAAACCCTGAACCTCCACAGTTGGTGGGTTTTGACAGAAGCAGTTGAGCACATTTCTTTCAATTACCTTCTTGTGAGCTGTGTAATATGATTTATGATCCCTGCACTTTGCTGTCCTCAGCTTTGAGGTCAACCGCCTTTTTTCAACCACACACACTAACATAAACACCAGTAAATGGTAAAGAGAAGCTGTTCCCAGTTTTGGTCCCGTGTCACAGCAGAGTCTTTGGGGTGTGTGACGAGTTTGAGTTGGCAGGTTGGTAGCTTGAGCCAGGTCCAGGTGGCCTTGTGGGAAAGGGAAAACTGGTTTGTATTTAATGACTTTGAACTTCAGAGAAAATGTGGGAAAAATGTTTGTTTGGCTCTGCTCTGGCATCCAGCTCTGTTTGGGGCTCATGAGACCACGGGTGCTTTAACGACTGCTGTGTCAGTGAATCGGTGGAAAAATGATTGTGTGTTTTTGTCTGTTTGTCTGTTTGTCGGAGTCTCAACATGCCAGTGTGTGATCCCAGACGTCTTGTCAACTGTTCTCTGAATATGTTTGTGTTGCATAACTTGTTGACAGGTCATTTCTTTCTTTGCGTTTGTTTAGTCTTTGTGACTGCTGTCAGCGTGTTAATGGTCTGTCAGTGTAAAAATTGTTTATGTTCAACACGTTCTAATTATTTTTTATTTTATTTTATGCTTGCATGTATTCTGTTAAATGTCTTACAAGCCTCACTGCTAAATTAAATACAGTAGTCCCTCGCTGCTTCGCAGTTCGACTTTTGCAGACTCGCTCTTTCACGGTTTTTCTAAGTAAGATTGGACATGACACACAATTGTCTGATTAATGGATGAGCTGCACGAGCTGCATGGATTGTTTATTTAACATATATTCTTTAATGATTTAGCACCTGCTGCACCTGTGTGCAGACCACAGGTGCAGGGAGAAGCTCCCTCCTGCAACGTGTCATGATCTCCACTCTCGGCCACGCCCACTTCTCCGCTGCAATCACACACATCACCTCCCAATCTCCCTCCTTCTGTGTAAATAAAAAATTGAATACTGTAATATTAAAAAAAAAACAATCCACGCTGCATGGATGGTTTATTTAAAATGTATTTGTTTTAAATTTATTTTTGTAAATTTCTGTTTTTTCAAGAGAATTTCTACTTTTATAGAAACATTTCTGCGTCTTTCAGCCTAATTGGACACAGTTGTGCTCTCTCCACTTTCTTCTGGTAACTTAAGCTTCTTTCAGCCGTTTCTGCTCTTTTTCAGCCATTTCTTACTCATTTCAGCTTTTCTTTATCTAATTTCCTAATTTTTCAGCAAATATGTTTTTTCTGCTTCTTCTGATAACTTAAACTTGTTCTTCCATTTCAGCTACATTTCAGCATGTTTTTAGCTAATTTCAGCTGTTTTAGAGCAATGTATTCAGCAATAAGAATGCACACTGCATTTTTGCAGGAAATGCAATTTCTATAGTTAAAGTTTAAATCCTAAAAATGTCCATTTCTCCTCCGTGCTGCATCGGCTTTGTGAAGGGTTAACCCATTGCTGTCCAGCTGCACCGGTCGACTTTTGTTTTCCAACTTAAAATTCAAAGTGTGTCACATCGTAAAATCATAATCACAAAATATAAGAGTGTTAAGTTATTTTTAATTATTTTAGAACTTCTATGTTCAGTTGATGAAGTGTAATTGATCAAGAAGTACATTCCGCTCCGTGCTGCTGATGCATGAAGGGTTAACCCTTTGATGACCTGCTGCACTTCTCTTCTCTTGTTCTACTGTCCCTACTTTGTGGTTTTTCACTTATCACAGGGGGTCCTGGAAACTAACACCCGCGATAAACGAGGGACTACTGTAAACAGATTTTAAAAGACACACTTCCAATTTGGTCAAATGTTCTACTTGTATGACTTAGCTGGCCAGACAATAATTGCTGCTAATAATAATAATTGTCTTTCTGTAAACATTATGATTGTTGTATGTTCACAGTTTAGAGTCTGGGCTCTGTGTACCAGTAGGCTTACCACAGTGGCCTAAATAAGAACCAGAACCACTGTAGTAGAAAGTTGTTCAGCTTGTCTGATTGCTCCGATCACGTCTACTTGACTCGCCATGTACGTGTGGCTCGATGAGCAATAATGTACTGCAAGTTTTGTTAGCAGTACTCCACAGGATGGGGGGGGGGGGGGGGGGGGCTTTTCAACATCTTATCTGGCCCACCAAGATAATTTAAATGTTTTTTTTTCTTTTCTCATTTTGCTTAAAAAGTTGAGAGATTTAGTTCAAACTTATACTCATTGAACTTATATAGCATGTAAAAACAACAAGAGCTGACCATACTGCTTTACAGTTTAGTCAAATTAAAGTGAAAACAAGGTTGAAAGGTTGAATTTTTCAGTAATCTTTGATTTCTGATGAGGAACGGGCAACAGTGAACATAAAATGAGACCAACAAAAAAGGTTAAATCATGTCATCTGGACTAGTTTCTTTAGGTGAGAAATGTTTCGTCCCCCATCCAGAGGGCTTCCTCAGTCTACGACCTGCCAACCAGCTCTGTCCCATAAGTAGCCTTCACTGCTGTGTTTCAAGACAGTGGAGTCTCAGAAGTGGTCTTTGGGCCCTTTAGTAGCAGAGTTTGACACCCTTGCAGTAGAAATATCATTCAAACTTTAAATGAACTTGTTTCTCTCACTGCTATAGGACTTAAAGTTTTCTCTCGCTGACTTCCACTGTATCAGGATTTTCCCTTCAAAACTAGAATAAAATCCTCATGTGACGACCAGGCAGGCCAGAAGCAGCACTCACTGCAGGAATAATCTTCTGATTTATAGTGGACACTGTAGACAAACGTGTTTCTGCATGGAGCATCCATCTACTGCGTTCACATTAGCTCAGAAGATAACTCTCACAGTGAGTGCTGGTTCTGTCTGCTCAACTTTCTCAACCTCAGGCAGCAGCTTTAATATTTGTTTAGATTTAGGTTCCTTTTAGACGTCTTATAGAGTTTATACAACAAATCATGCATCATGTATCTTCATAAAAGTCCCAAATTATTCTTGGACATTATAGAGAAAAGCTTTTGTATTTTGTCATCTTAGCAGTATCGGTGTGCTTCAGAATTGATTTCTATGTATTACCGGTACTTTATATCTCTGAATGCTTCTGTTTGTATGCTCAGATGCTGCTGGAGTGATTCTAGTAAAAGTTTCTTCTGCTCACACAGGTCAGGGCTGGAGTCTCTTGCCCAGTGGGACAGTCCTATGCAGGTGAAGCTGTCCCGCTGGAAGTCTGGTCTGAACACGCTGCTGGTGGAGCTCCTGCCCTGGGCTCTCCTGACCAACAACTCTCAGTGGGACCTCTGGCTTTTCGAAGGAGAAAAAATCATTCTGCAAATACCAGCTGGCAAAGTCGTTGTGCCGCCCAACTTCAAGGTCAGGTGTCATATTCTGTATCCTGTTGGAGGGCTGTTTAAAAGTCATCAAAATCAAAGCTGTTGAGGTCAAAGTATTTTCAGTTTTATGTCCAAACACTTCTGAGAGAAATATTTATGTTCTCGAGCCCATAGGTTCCCAAACTTTTCAGCTTCTGACCCTCTAATGACAATGGCAGGGTTATGGTCCTAAATTCAGTTCAGTTTATTTCTTTAGCACCAAGTCATAACAGAAGTCGCCTCAGGGCACTGGACAGAAACATTCACATACATTATAAAAGCCAGTTAGTAAAAGTTATCCATCCAAAGAAGACCTCAGATTGTGTTAAATCTTCATTTTGTCTTAGTCTCCCATCCTGGGCAAACAAAGGAGACAGTGAAAAGAAAAAACTCATTATTAACAGGAAGAAACCTCCAGTAGAACCAGGCTCACGATGAGCGGACATCTGCTTCGACCGGCTGGGATTGAGAGGACAGGAAGGAGAAACAAACACAGAATGACAGGTCCAGATGAACTTTCTATAGGAAGAAGCCTATAGCAGTATAACTAAGGGGCAGCTCAGGAAACCAAGCCAATCGTAACTATAGGATTTAGCAAAAAGGAAAGTCTTAAAACTGGACAATGTGTCAGCCTCACAGACAGAAACTGGAAGTTGGTTCCACAAGAGAGGAGCCTGATAACTGAAAGATCTTCCTCCCATTCTACTTTCGGAAACTCTAGGAACCACAAGTAAACCTGCAGTCTGAGAGTGTTCTGTTAAGAGAACATGTAACTATATAAATACAGCCTGTTTAGTTGTACAAGCTTTGTTAATCATATTAAACATAACACAGTCAACATGTAAAATACTATTTTATTTAATAATTTATGAGTACTGTATTTATTGTTAGTAACAGTTTAGATGAAACTGTGCTTTTACCAATCATTGTGCTTTTACTTGATTTCTGCAGATTTGAGGACCCCATGTGTGGTTTAGTCACTGTCACCCCTGAGCCCAGTGTTGAAAACCACTGCTCTAGATTTTCATTTCTATTTCTTTTTTTTTTTCTAGATTTGTGACTTTTCCTCCAGTACTATTGATTATGTGAAGCAACTGTTTTTCAATTTTAGTACGACTTTCCAGGCCATGAATTAAAATTTATATGAGTTGAATTGAATAAGATATACCCCACAACAGTTTCTGTTTTCTAAAACAGCTTAATATACTGCAAACTAAGATTAAATAGCATGCGTCTGAACTTGGACAGAGAACTAATTGCTTTCCTGAAAGTCATTAAACCACCGTACGCTTGCCAAATATCTTTACTGTTTTACTAAAGATGTACTTTGACGTTACATTATGACCTAGATGTCTTTTCATGACATCACAGCCATCTTTATGAATCCAGCCCTTTTCTCATCTCAGTCTTGACTAATAGGCACAAACCTGAGATCATCCAGCAGAGCTGCATGACAACAATATTCCCTGCCTACGTCTGCAGCCAAGCTCTGTCCCACAACACTGCAGCCATGTCTTCTGTCTTCTTCCAAGATCAGTAGAAGTTGACTGCAGATGTGTTTTTCCCCTGTGGAACATAACAAACACATGCAGAGACTTCTTTTTTTTGTTGGTAACCCAGAGCTAAGCGGTAAGGCAGCATATCAAAGAGCAATCACTAATAAGCTTCAGCACAAAGGAACAAAATAAAAAAGTTGTTAATACTTAAAAGCTTGTGATAAAGAAACAAATGCAGCTTTGTTTCCATAGTGCTGCGTTATTTATCGTGTCCCTACAAATAGAGAGAAGACCGTCTCAGTAGAAACTCATGTGGCAGATTGAAAAATAAATGAACATGCACTATGTCTCCAAGGCATCTGCTGGACATTTCACTAAAGAAATTGTAGAAGAGGGAGCTAAAATAGAGGTCATGCTGCTGCCAGTGCTGTTTGAAGTGCCGTTCAGCAACACTGAGATGAGATGAGTTGTTGGGAGCCACAGCTGTTTCTGTTACTGTGAGTTTTAGTAAAAGTTGTCAGTGACTGACTCACAGCTCTTTTCTTTTAACATCCCTTTCTCTTTCTCTCCTGCACACTTTAGGAAGCCTTCCAGATTGGTATCTACTGGGCCCACACCAACACTGTCCACAAGTCCGCTGCACTGAAACTAGTCCATGACCTGACCTCTCCTCGATGGAAGGAGGGCTCAAACGCAGTGGTGGTCACTCTGGATGAGGAGGGACACGTGGAGGTGGACGTTACTTTGGGAGCCTTCCCTGGAAAACAGAAGGTGGTGAAAACCTCCTCTCTCTGAATGTCAGGAAATATAAACAGCTTTACTTCAAGCTGGGATGGTCAAGTAGTTTATTGGATCATCCAGAGAAGCTTCAGCTTATATGCACATGTATTTTGTGGTTAAATTATATATTAGGATAATTGGTGTATTTACCGAGTTATCGTACTTGCCACCGTATAAGTTGCATCAGTCCAAATATGTCTAATAAAGTGGAAACATCCATAAATACATTGCTTCGCTGTACACGTTGCATCTATTGTGTCACCACTGACAACCTGGAAATGTGGGCCGGTGTTGTGCCAAAAATAGATTGGCTGCCAAATTTTTTTATTTTTTTTTCATTTAGCCTTTATTTATCCAGGTTAGTCTCATTGAGCCACGAGAACTCATTTTTAAGAGAGACCTGTTTTAGGGAGCACATGGTGGGGGTTAAGGGCCTTGCTCATGGGCCCAGAGTGGGGCGAATGAGGGTGGGGGCAAGTGTGTGTGTTTCACCTACCCCACCCACAATTTTGATGTTGTCGGGGCCGGGGCGTGAACCGGCGATCTTCGGATCACAAGCCCACCTCTCTAACCTCTGCGCCACCACTCCCCACACAATGGCATCTGCGGGAGCGTGCACGGGAGGTCTTTAACAAGAATTTAAAAAGATTAAAACTTAAAAACAATTGTTTGTTTGCTCGAAATTATAGCAAAGGAGTGTCTCAGTCTAACTTTTCCTTAATAAATGCACTTTGACGGTCAAATCAGCTGCATTTCAAAAGCCGATATGCGGAAGCAGGAGCGTGCAGAGGGCGACTCGCTGTGCATTTTTTTTCAAAGTTTAACAAGATAACCACCTACAATCAATTTTGTTTGCTCAACATTATAGTAAAGGTGTGTCTCAGTTGAACTTTTCCTTAATAAATGCACTTTAACGGTAAATTCAGCTGCATTTCACCAGGGCGGCCCGGTCAAATGCAGCTGATTTGACGTTTGCTCCAGGAGTTATGGAGCGAGGCGAAGGTTGCCTTGTATGGCAAGCCAAGTGTCTCATTAATAGCCACTTTTTCCTATTAGTGAGACACTTGGCTTGCCATATACGCTGAGGGCCCTCTAGTGGCTGAAAATGGTAGTGTTCATTTTTTTCTGTCAGAATGAATGAAATTGTCAGATCTCAGCCAAAAATTGGGTTATAAATATGGGGAAAAACATAAATACATTGCGTCACTGTATAAGTCGCAGACATGCTAATTTATGCAAAAAAACTGACTTATACAGCGAAAGCTACAGTACATAGTGTTTCTGCTGTTTTAGAGTTTTTTAACTACTTTCTCCAGTAAAATATTCAAAAATGTACTACAAGGAGAGTCCTAGCATTCCTTAAAGGAATTAATATTTCCTGCTTCTTTTCATGCCAGAGTTTTAAACTGAAATCTTGTTAAAAAATTATGTACAAGTGTAAAAGTTGTAGCTGTTTTGGTCAAACTTTAACTTTCTGCACAGTCTTCAGCAATATGATGAGCTGTCATGCTCAAAGGATGGGATATTTATGATGATCAGCTACTACCACATCAAAGTTTAGCTTAGTAGTTGTTAAACCTTTTTAGAATATTTTGTTTAAAATAGGTGAATGTTAATTCATTGTGCATGAGCATCTTCAAAGTTGAGTGTGTCATGATTCATGAGGTGTTTTGTGAACAGACAGAAGGAGTTAACTCCAAAATGCATAACAAAGATGTTCAATCTTAGAATATTTAATATGGATCAGTCTCGGCTACATCAAATTGTAGCTCAATGTTTGTAACATTCAGAGTTAACATCATACTTGTGTTTTTTTAGAGACAGCTGCTTGTGGCAGCCATCTTGAATGATGTTGACTCCAAAAGCTGATCAGTTGTAGGTGTGGATGTCCAGCCATGATTACTTTTTGCAGGTTTCATTAAAATTCATCCAGTTGGCTGTGATACTTTGGTAAAAGGCAAAAACAATAATAGCTACCATTTGCCTTTCAGCGGCAGGTGATAATAAATTAGAAGTCGTAATAATGATTGTGTCTGTTTTTGTGTTTCTGTGCAGCTGTGCCAGTTTTGTGTGTCCTCCATGGTGAGACACGGCGTCCAGATCCTACAGATCGAGGACAGAACTCTTGTAGTGAACAACACTCGTTACAGCGTCCACTGCAGGCCTCTGCTGACGGACCGAGCTCTGGGGGGCGATGAGCAGGTCGAGTACAGTACACCATGCATGCACAAAAAGAGTGTTTTAACAGTGAAAGGCACAAGTTTGAAGTAGGAACATGTGAAGTCTCACACTAAACTGTGATATTTTTTACATTATAACACCTTCAAAGTCTCTGAGTGCACACCAGCTTAAACATTACACATGCAGCATGTTCCCTTTTGCACGTCAAATGTACTCGTCCACCTCGCTCTCCCTCACACACACACACGCACACACACACACACCCCTCCTCATCACGGGGATGTTGCAAGCCGTTTTCCATCAGATCATGTTCCCCCAGAGCCCCCTCCCTGCTCCGCTCTCACCATGTGGCTATGGCACTTCATAGGGACATTAGACAAACACCCAGAATTGGATGCAGGTTTCCTCTCTTGCTTTCATCTGCTGCCTGTCCCCAAAGAGAGCAACAATGTTGTGATGTCATTTAACAGTCCTTCAGATCTCCTTATAGAATGATGGCAGAGCTCTCCAGTTGTCTCTAATTGACTGAAAAACTTAAAAAAGGCTTAAAAAAACTAAAGATTGGGCAATGGGCTTAACAAAAACACAGACCACAAACAAGGCAAGGAATGCTTTTCTAGCTGCTCTATTCATCATGTTTAGTGCATAATCCCTGAAGTCTTCAAGACTTACTGCTTGCTAGCTGCTAAATCAGCGCAGCAGGACTTTTCTGCTACCAATTTAACACTAAGCTCAGTGGGAGAGGGAATAAAGTAAAATAACATTGTGGTTTTACAATGTATCTTTAGTTATAATTGCTTGCATCTTTCCTACTCCTTGGCTCTGTCTTCTGTATGGTCCTGATGTCCCATCTCGTGTTCCCTTTTCTGATGTCGTTTTGGTCCCCTCTTTGGTTTCCTCTTCTCCATTGTGCCTTTTTTCTGCTTTTCCATCTTAACTTTGTATATGTTTTTTTTTTTTTTTCATTAGTTGTGCATTTATTTTTTGTGTATTCCCTTTATCTCATTTTGTCTCTTATCCTATATTTTTTTGTATTATTATTATTATCAGGCTTGTGAAATACCTGAGAGCACTGTGTTCACCTTCCCTCCTTCCGATGAGCTGTCTCCAGCCAAGCCATGCGCCGTGCCATACTGGGACCTCCTCCAAGCTGGTGTCCAGGAGAAGGTGGAGTTCCCATTGCCACTAAAACACATGCTTCTCAGCTTAAGGCCTGATGCTGGAGTTGGAAGTGCGGCGTGGAGCCTCCCCACTCCGGTGCGACCAGACTTCCCCAGGCAGAGCGTGTCCATCCCCAAGGATCAGGACTCAGGGGGTGAACTGAGCAGCAGGTGGGTGAGGCAGAGCATTTATGGTTTGCTGGCTCTGACAGTCCATTTAAAGCAGGGCATCAAACTGGCTGGCTCTGGTTTTTAAGCAAGGATTCACTTTGTTAAATCCTGCAGATGAAGCAGAGGAATGGTCTCAACATTTCCACCGTCAGTCTCCTGGCTTCTCTTATGTTGTGATCTGACTGTATTTTTACTGCTCCCATGTTGTCAGTTTCATAAATCTTTTATATGTGGACTCAAACACACGTTTTTGTCTTTTAAATTTTTTGTATATTCATTTTTAATTGATAAAACACAGAACATGCAGATGTTTCACCGATGCAGAGCTTTTCTCATTCAGTGCGTCGTCTCACAGTCATATTAGACATAGGCACCTTATCGTTGGAGCAGCTCATCCTTTATTTATTTAAAGCAGAAGTTCAAACTTGTGCTTTTATAGCCCAAACTGTGGCCTAAAAACATATTTTCACTCAATAAAACAAAAGCATGTACAGTGGTGTTTATGGATTGTGTTTGACGTTCTTCATTACAAACTAAAATATATACATCATATAATCATCACTACATTCTACAACCCTCATCTTGAGCTTTGGTTCGGTCCAGCTCAGCAGAACACCAGTAAAGCTAAAGTTGATCACTGAGGTCTTTTTCTGACTGGAAATCAGAGAAAACAGAGTATAAACTGGTTGATAATGAGCTAATTAAAATGGGGGAGTAATGATGCAGAGGTTGGAGAAGTGAGCATGTGGTCAGAAGGTTGCTGGTTCAAATTCCCCTCCTAACTGTAACAAAACATCAAAATGTGGGTGGAAAACATCACCTCTGCCTCCACCTTGATTTGCCTCAAACTGGTCCTGGTAGCAAGGCCCTTAATGTCAGGCGCACTAGATGCAGCCCTGCACTCCACACAGAGGGCTGTGGTAGCTCAGTGTTTGGAAGACAAACCGAGTGATGTGTCTGGAACCTCTCGTGATGATATCAGGTTGGCCTACGTATCAAAGTGTAGCTTAAAGGTCAAGAATCTAAAAATGTGTTTTAATTGATTTTGACCAAATATGACTTGATTCCTGATTTGATGTGGTGAGTTACAAATGAGCTCTGTGAGGTAAATGTCTCTGGTAGATGGCCTTGAGCAAAGCCCTTAACCCCCCATCTGTTCCCTCGATCACCCTAGATGTAACCCTCTGCTCCACACAGAGGCCCGGTGGTCAGTGGTTGAGTCAGGAAGGACATCTGGTGTAAAAACAATTATCAAATCCTTGTTCAGGTTCTCTCACTGTGTTGAACCCTGAAGAAGAGAGCAGACACAAAAAAAGAAAGTTATTAAATGTGCTACATTTTTAGTGAGAAACAGATATTTTATTTAGTTTATATTGACGTCTACCCAGGAATCCAGTCATATTTGATCAAAATCAATTAAAACACATTTTTAGGTTGTTGACCTTTAAGCTACACTTTGATACGTAGACCAACCTGATGTCATGTGCAGTTCCAGAGATTTGATTCTTCTCCCGTAATGGGAAACTGTTGAGTTTTGTTATAAAAAAAACAAGCTTTGACAAAATGTATAAAAGCTGGTGAGTTATGTGTTGGCCGAGATGAATAACAGTGGATTCTTGTTGGGGATCAACGCTCCAGGTTAGTCTTTATATGAAGACAGGTGTGTGAGCTGTGTGGTCAGCAGAAGTCATGTCCTGTACGGTGTGTGGAAGGTGAAGTAATGGGTTGGTTCCTGCTGTTTCTGTTTGCAGAGCTGTAGTGCTGACGTATCAGGAGCACCTTGGAGTGACATACATTATCTTTAATGAGGACCCCTGTCCACGCATGCTGATCCACAACAAGTGTCCTATCCCCCTGCTCCTCAAGGAGACTGTAAAAGGTAGAGAACAGTTACCTTTGTGCTGACCACTGGGTTTTTGTATTTTCTAAGAATGTTTCAGCTGTACTCTTTTTATTTCACATTGTAGAGACTCCAAGGACTGCCGTGTACTGTCGTCCTCTGCCTGCTAACTGTTCGCTGCACCATGAGCTCTACTACCACTCCTCCACTTTCCCTGAGTGCAGGCAGAAAGAGGTTCTGCCAACCCTGCAGCTGAAAACCACTTCAGACCACAGCTCCACCGACTGGACGAACCCCATAGACATCAACTGCCCCGGCACTCAGGTATCCATGAACACAAGGTGCTCAAAGGCCCCAAAACACAAAATACATCAAAAACAATTCACTTCGTTGTGTTCTTTAAAACATGTTGGTGCTTATTCCTTAACAAATCTCATCTCCCCTTGCTTTCTTTAACACACACATTTTCAGGAAGTTTCTTATAGATGGTCTGTAATGCTATTAATACATGTTCAGGGGCTTTGGACGCCGCAACTGCTGTATCAGCTAGATGGAGCCAGAGATCGCTCTGCTTCTGTGGCACAGTTAGTGTTTTGAATTAGCTGACTAATAACAACCAGACGCATCATCACTAGCAACCTCGTTAACTTCCATTTTATTTTCCAAAACTAAGCTTTAAATTTAGACACAAACAAATTTGGTTTGTGCCAATAACTCAGGTTTGTGGGGCTGCCCCACCTGTTAAATAAAAACAACATATTAGTTGGTCTTATGTGTGTGTGTGTGTGTGTTTTGTGGAGTTTAGTAAGCGTTTGTGGTCCGGTCGGTGTGGATGGTGGGGTAAGTAAAACATAACGGAGCAGTGTGTGTGGTGTTGTGTCTAAGCCGCTGTGAGTCAGAGTTGACACAGAGGCTGTGTATCTCTGGTTACTGTGAGGTCTGGGTCTGACCTGTGCGCTAAGGGGTGGAAGGTCAAAGGTCAAACGTGTTATGACTGCTCAGAGAGGCGTTCAGCGGTGATCTGCTTCCTTTCATCACGAGTTTCTAAAGTCTAGAAACTCGGGGTGGTGAAGGTTAAAGTGAGACACAGAGCAGTGAGCTGAGCTCTGACGTTGAACATTTGAAGTCTCAAATATTATTTACGCTGCCAGATTCCAGTCAGAGAGTGTCTTTATTAATATGTGTGTTGTCTCTGATCAGGTGGTGTTCGTGCCTGGCTTTGGCTGCATGTACGTAGACGTGTCTTGTGAGAGAGGCACCCTGGTTCTGTCTTTGGCACCAGAAGGCAGCGTGGACACTGTCCTCAACCAACAGAGCAGGTACGTACAGCCAGTACTTCCACTAGGTTCTCTTACATATTTCACTCATGAACCATTAACTCAAGGCCTTTTATTGCAAATCAGCTCGCTAGATGAAAAATGCTGCCGTCAATGTTTTTACTCATTACTCTACAAAATAAGAAATAGGCATCATTTTCATCACAGGAGATAGTTAAAACCTTCATCTGCAGTCAAGATGTTTATTTTTAACACAAATATTGTGAAAGTTTGCTGGCCCAGTTTTTGTAGTTTGCATATTACACCAGAATGTTTTAAAGAGATCAAATGAAATGTAATTATATACAAAGCCCTTCTTGGCCACAAAAATGAACTTAATTCTCTTTAAAAAATCAGCATTTCAGCTACAGAAGCCCCTGACAGAGATGAGAGTTGATGAGGACAAGGCTGCACATCTCTCATGTCATGCTGGCTGAGTTATAATATCAGACTGATGCTTTAAAAGTGGGGCAGGGCTTGAAATAATGTTTTTGCTTCCTCTGGTAACCTTGCTTTCATGCAAGAAACTGTGTGCAGTCAGCATTTCATCGCATAAAAGGGGCTTCAGAGACAAAGATATTGCTGCTAGTAAGATTGCACCTAAATCTACCATTTATCAGATCATAAAGAACTTCAAGGAGAGAGGTTCAGTTGTTGTGAAGTGGGCCTCGGGGTGCCCATGAAAGTCCAACAAATGCCAGGACTGTCTCTAAAGTCGATTCAGCTGCAGGATCAGGGTGCTGAGTGTGCTCAGGAGGAAGTGAGTGCATCTGTACACACAGTGGGATGAAGACTTGGAGGATGACTTGGTGTCCTTGAGTGGAGCAAAGAAGCCTCATCTCTAAGAAAAATGTCAGGGACACACTTACATTCTGCATAATGTCCAGTAATTGGACTGCTGAGAACTGGGGGGTCTTTTTCTCTAATAATTTCCAAATCTATATATTTATTGGGGCATGAGGAAAGACTGTCCTGAGAAGAAAATGTGATCGCCTCCATTAATCCTGTGTCGTACCAACAGCAAACCATTCTGGAACCGTCCTTGAGTGAGTTTACCGTATTTTCCCTCGTACACGTCGCACCGCCCTATAAGTTGCATCAGTCCAAATATGTCTAATAAAGTGGAAAAATCCAGAAATATGTCATTTCGTCGTATGCGTTGCATCTATTATGTCACCGCTGACAACCCGGAAATGTGGGCCGGTGTTGTGCCAAAAATCGATTGGCTGCCAAATGGCGGCCGCGGGAGTGTGCACGGGAGGACTTTAACAATAATTTAACAAGATTAGCACTTAAAAATGATTATTTGTTTGCTTGAAATTATATCAAAGGTGTGTCTCAGTCGAACTTTTACATAATAAATGCACTTTGACGGTCAAATTAGCTGCATTTCACCAGGGCGGTGCAGCGAAGCGAAGTTGATTTGATGGTTGCTCCAGGCAGACGTTGTCAGTCTGTGGCAAACCAATTGTGTCATTAATAGCCACTTTTACCTATTACATGATACAATGGCATACAAACTACTTGAGTGCCATCTAGCGGCTGAAAATGATAGTGTTCAATATTTCAGTCAGAATGAATGAAAACGGTCGTATCTCTGCCAAAAATTGGTTTGTAAATATGGGAAAAATCCACAACTTTGTTGCTTCTGCATATAAGTCACAGGGCATGCATATTATGCAAAAAACTGCAACTTATAAGGCAAAAAATACAGCACTTCTCGTTCAGTTGTACCTAAGAGCACAGTCATGAAGAAGAAATGGAACCCAAACATCTTCTGGAACAACTTCTGCCGTCCAGCCAACAACAGCTCAGTGACGATGCCTTTTCCTGCATGCTGGAGCACAGTGCATAAAGATAAAGTCATAATTACTGTTGGAACAAAACATCATATTATGGGGTTAGTAAACTCTCCAGACCTTAAGCCCGGTGACACTTTGTGGTTGAGCCTCAAGAGGTCGGTGGACCAAAAAAAAAGCCCAGTTACTCTCACAAACTCCGAGGATTGATGAGGTGGAATGAGCCGTCATCACTTAGGATTTGACCCAGGAGTGAAGTGACAGCATGCCAGGGTGAACTGCACAGGTTTTGAAAATGAACACCAGTACAGCAAATATTGACTCTTTGTTTAAACTTCATGTAATCATCAATAAAAGCCTTTGAAACTTGTGCAGTGCTTGTAATTATACTTCAGTAGAAACATCAAGCAAAACGATGTAAAAGCACTGAAGCTGCAGACTTTGTGGGAACCGATCCTTGTGTCATTCTCCGAACGTTGGCCACAGCTGTACGGTAGAACGTTGTTACAGTTTTATTCCATTACATCAACACATCGCTGCTGTGTCACTTTGGCTAAACAGGATATTAATATAATGGCTGGTTAGGTAAAAGTAAACAAATGAGCTCAGACAATGATTTTTATTAATGTTCTGTTAGGAGATTTATAAAACATCAGCCAAGCATGAATGAGTTTGGTCTCGTATTATTCTCTATAAATAATCAGTCATCACACACATGACTTGTTGGAAGTAGTGTATGGTGTATAAGCTGAAAATGTTTGCTTGTACAGAAAAAGGGCCAATTTAACATCGTTAACTGTGGCTGTATTTTCATGTGTGAAACACTCTGTGTACAGATCTGCTGCTCACACTGAACTTTCATGTTTTGTTTGCAGGTCCTCCAAGCTGTCTTTTAAAATCCTCCTGAGCCAGGCCAGTGTGATGTTAAGTGATGACATCACGAGTCCCACTGGGCCCGTGGAGCTGCTGAGACTCACGTTAACAAAGCTGCTGCTCAGCCTCGGTCCTGCACCCAGTCCCCTCCCCCCGGAGCTGGCAGCTGATTCTGCCATGGCCGCTTCTGTCTCCGCTCTGGTGTGTGACTCGTCTCTGGTCGAGGTGTACGCCTCCAGTCTTCAGGTGGACAACCAGTTGTACAACCGGGCGAGTTTCCACTTTCCCGTCCTGCTGTGCCAAGATCAGAGAGGGGGAACTGAGCCTGGAGCTCTGTGGAGCAGGGACGCCAATCCCACCGAGTCCCCTGAGACGTTGGAAGAGTTCAAGAAGTCGTGTTTTCTGCAGCTGAAGATGGTGCTCGCTGCAGACGGATGCACTGTGGAGGAGGTTACATTCTGTTTGTCTGCTCCTTCCTTTCCTGTTGGGACACTTTAGCGTCCATGACCTGCACCATATAGCCCTGTTCCACAATTGAATTACATGTGACAGTAAAATAAAACAATGTCAAACCACATCAAAACAGGAGTGTAGAGCAGAAAGATAACTATAAAAATAAATTAAAGCAAAATTCAAATTAGAATGAAAAAGTGTGAGACATGAAAAGACATTAAAACGAGTAACACTGTTTAATCATATAAAACAGTGCTAATGACGATCAGCTCTTTCAAATGTTAGAACATGCCTTTAATGTCCACATTTTTTCAAAGTACGTACTTTTTTCTATTTGATCATTTTTTTTGTCATTTTAATGTTCTGATGTTGCTATAAGAGTATTTCCTTTTACAGTTGTTCCAGCACAGTCTTATGTTAGTGTATGAATAAATGTAGGTTTTGCTGGTAAGAACAGAAAATAATTTTAGCAGCTGTTCCAACAATCAAGGGTCTGGATAATGTTTCTGTCCACCCCTCTTTATTTGTTTGTTGTTTATTTCCAAATAGTTATGAAGTGTCATGTTTGAGAACAGCTTCCTGTGCTTTTTCCTTTAAGGTGATCTTCCAGCTCCAGCCTGCCAGAGTCTACCTGGAGGACACGTTTGTTTACTACATCAAGACGCTGTTCGACTCGTACATCCCCAGCAGGTCTGTGGAGTCGCAGAGGGGCAGAGAGCCTGGAGCAAGTCCAGTCCTCCCTGAACAGGTGCAGCACTCAGAACATCTGTATTCAGCCTGCTTTCTTTGTTGATTTTCATCATCTGTTTTATTAGAGGTGAACTTGTGCCAGACATGTTGGAAGCAGCGTTTGGCCTCGTTATGGCCAACAACCTGTCTGAGTCCATGTTCGTATGAGAGTTATTTATTTGTCCTTGCTGCAGAGACCTGGGATAAAACAAGACATTAATGTTTTTAAATGAATAATAAATGACTTGTGTGATATCATTTAGGTGCTGCAGTCCGTGCAGGCGTTGGTCCAGCCTGTGCGTCTGCAGAAGCTGGTCATTCAGCCAGTCAACCTGCTGGTCAGCATCCACGCCTCCCTGAAGCTGTACATCGCCTCAGACCACACGCCTCTGTCCTTCTCTGTGTTTGAGAGGGGGCCGCTCTGCACCACAGCCCGACAGCTGGTCCATGCCCTGGCCATGCACTACGCTGCCGGAGCCCTTTTTAGAGCAGGTGGGTTGAAGGAGGAGGGAGGTGTTCAGCTCCTCCTGCTGCTGCATCCTCCACACCTCTCTGCACATGTTGGATCAACACTTAGGATATCCATCCATCCATTATCTTTACCCGCTTATTCCATTTTGGGTCATGGGGGTCGCCGGTGCCCATGTCCAGCAATCACTGTGCGAGGGGCGGGGACACCCTGGACAGGTCTCCAGTCCATCACAGGACCACATAGAGACAAACGAGATAAACAACCATTCACACTCTCATTCACACCTAGGGACAATTTAGAGTTACTAATCAACCTAACATGCATGTTTTTGGTCTGTGGGAGGAAACCGGAGCACCCGGA